CCAACATCCATCATATACTGCAAGACGTACCCAACATCCATCATATACTGCAAGACGTACCCAACATCCATCATATACTGCAAGACGTACCCAACATCCATCATATACTGCAAGACGTACCCAACATCCATCATATACTGCAAGACGTACCCAAGATCCATCATATACTGCAAGACGTACCCAACATCCATCATATACTGCAAGACGTACCCAACATCCATCATATACTGCAAGACGTACCCAACATCCATCATATACTGCAAGACGTACCCAAGATCCATCATATACTGCAAGACGTACCCAACATCCATCATATACTGCAAGACGTACCCAACATCCATCATATACTGCAAGACGTACCCAACATCCATCATATACTGCAAGACGTACCCAAGATCCATCATATACTGCAAGACGTACCCAACATCCATCATATATTGCAAGACGTACCCAACATCCATCATATACTGCAAGACGTACCCAAGATCCATCATATACTGCAAGACGTACCCAACATCCATCATATACTGCAAGACGTACCCAACATCCATCATATACTGCAAGACGTACCCAACATCCATCATATACTGCAAGACGTACCCAACATCCATCATATACTGCAAGACGTACCCAACATCCATCATATACTGCAAGACGTACCCAACATCCATCATATACTGCAAGACGTACCCAACATCCATCATATACTGCAAGACGTACCCAAGATCCATCATATACTGCAAGACGTACCCAACATCCATCATATATTGCAAGACGTACCCAACATCCATCATATACTGCAAGACGTACCCAACATCCATCATATACTGCAAGACGTACCCAACATCCATCATATACTGCAAGACGTACCCAACATCCATCATATACTGCAAGACGTACCCAACATCCATCATATACTGCAAGACGTACCCAACATCCATCATATACTGCAAGACGTACCCAACATCCATCATATACTGCAAGACGTACCCAACATCCATCATATACTGCAAGACGTACCCAAGATCCATCATATACTGCAAGACGTACCCAACATCCATCATATACTGCAAGACGTACCCAACATCCATCATATACTGCAGCAAACCTAGAAGGTTCCAGGATATGTGAACCAAAAGTTTATAAAGCCCGTATAATAGGCCTAGAAGGAGGTGAGCGCACATTTCATTTCACTGAAGGCTTCACAGAAAGTCGCTGTATTATGTTTTAATCACTTTATCACAAATTTGGACTTTTTTTTTTGGATAAACGGATTTATTTTTGTTTTTTATTATGATCACTTTATTAATATATTGAAAATTTTTTGTCAGTTTGATATAATATATAATAGTATATTTCACACACTTTATATAGTTGGATAATAGGAGCGCAACATTTATAGATATATCCTCCATACCCCTCCCTCTCTATCCTTCTCTTCTTTTGAGTCTCATTGCATCCGGCTGTTTTCTCCCATTTCTCTGAGGATTGCAGTGATCTTCTGGCCTCCTGGACCCGTGTCCCGCTTTCTTGATGACTTCTCTGCCTGGTTACCCTACTTTCTCTCCTCTGAAATACCCGCTATCATTTTTGGAGATTTTAACATCCCCATTGATGTGAACAACCCAGCTACATCCCAACTCTTCAACATAACCTCATCTTTATCATTAGCACAATGTATATAGTCCTACACTCACTCTGATGGACGCGGTCCTCCATGGTCCTCCACTCACTCTGATGGACGCGGTCCTCCATGGTCCTCCACTCACTTTGATGGACACGGTCCTCCACTCACTCTGATAGACACCGTCCTCCACTCACTCTGATGGACACGGTCCTCCACTCACTCTGATAGACACCGTCCTCCACTCACTCTGATGGACACCGTCCTCCACTCACTCTGATGGACACGGTCCTCCATGGTCCTCCACTCACTCTGATGGACACGGTCCTCCATGGTCCTCCACTCACTCTGATGGACACGGTCCTCCATGGTCCTCCACTCACTCTGATGGACACGGTCCTCCATGGTCCTCCACTCACTCTGATGGACACGGTCCTCCATGGTCCTCCACTCACTCTGATTGACACGGTCCTCCATGGTCCTCCACTCACTCTGATGGACACGGTCCTCCACTCACTCTGATAGACACCGTCCTCCACTCACTCTGATGGACACGGTCCTCCATGGTCCTCCACTCACTCTGATAGACACCGTCCTCCACTCACTCTGATGGACACCGTCCTCCACTCACTCTGATGGACACCGGTCCTCCATGGTCCTCCACTCACTCTGATGGACACGGTCCTCCATGGTCCTCCACTCACTCTGATGGACACGGTCCTCCATGGTCCTCCACTCACTCTGATGGGAATACATTAGACCTGGTTTTCTCCCATCTTTGCACTCCCTACAACCTCACAAACACCCCCTTTCCTCTCTCTGATCACCATCTCATCACCTTCACAGTCTCCTCATCTTCAAACACCTATCCCTCCAAGCAGCCAACAATTACCCGCAGAAACCTTCACAACTTGAACCCGGCTCCTTTCCACTCTGCAACTGACTAACTCTATGACAGAATCTCCCCCTGTCCTGCCCTGACCTGGCCACTGCTGTCTATAACAGTTCGCTTTCATCCACATTAGACTCACTTGCTCCTCTAACCTCATGAAGTATCAGGCCCCTCAGTACAACCTTGGCAGACTGACCACACCAGACATCTTAAAAGACATAGTCATGTACTGGAGCAATTGTGGTGTAAAACTAAATCCCAGCAAGCGTTCACCCGATATAAATCTGCTTTCTTCACATACAATTCCTCCCTCCATGCTGCCAAACAAGATGACTTTGTAACTCTCATCAATAGCTTGTCATCCAGTCCTCGTCATCTCTTCTCTAATTTTAACTCTCTACTTTCTCCACCTCCACCCAGCACCCTCACTCACCTCCACCCACACCCAGCACCTCACTCACCTCCACCCACACCCAGCACCTCACTCACCTCCACCCCACACCCAGCACCTCACTCACCTCCACCTCCTCCCCCCCCCCCACCCACCCCCCCCCCCCCCCCCCCCCCCCCCCCCCCCCCCCCCCCCCCCCCCACCCCCCCTCCCTCAACACTTTCCTCTTCTGACCTTCTACTACCGAAGAGGTCACTAAGGTTTTCTCAGAATCCCATCTCACTACCTGCCCCCTGGATCCTGTCCCCTCACAACTACTACGGTCACCCTCTTCTTCCATCCTATGCTCCCTCACTCACATCTTCAATCTCTCCCTCTCTAACTGGTGCCTTCCCCTCCCCTCCCCTCTAAAGCACGCGCACATCACTCCCATACTTAACAAGCTTTCCCTGGACCCCACCACCTGAACAACTTAAGACCCATGTCTCTGCTGCCATTTACAGTTGTGTTGAAAATACTAGCCATCAGACATCACTAACCGGATCAATCGCTGTTTTTGGTGGAAATGATATTTCTACATCGCAGATAATTTCGTAGCAGGTGTAGTAGAGTCATAGAAATCCAACAGACCCGACAGTCATGACATGCATGCTGCTGATTCTGTGTCATTGAATCACTCATTGAAAGGGGCGTGTTCACAATAATAGCCGTGTGGAGTTCTATTAGTGACGTCATTCATTCTTTGATAAACAGGTGGCAATTATTGCCCTTATTTAAGGAAGGAAGGCAGCAAATGTTGGACATGCTGGTTACAGTGCATTTCTCTGTGAAATTCTGAGGAAAATGGGTCGTTCCAGACATTGTTCAGAAGAACAGCGTACCTTGATTACAAAGTTGATTGGAGGGGAAAACATATAAAGAAGTGCAGAAAATGATCGGCTGCTCAGCTAAAATGATGGCAAATGCTTTAAAATGGCAACCAAAACCTGAAAGACGAGGAAGAAAGCGAAAAACTACCATTGGAATGGATAGAAGAATAGCCAAAATGGGGCGGACTCAGCCAACAATCAGCTCCAGGAAGATGAAAGAAGGTGTGACGTTCCCTGTGAGGACTCAGCCAACAATCAGCTCCAGGAAGATGAAAGAAGGTGTGACGTTCCCTGTGAGGACTGTTACAATTAGAAGACGCCGATGTGAAGCCAAGCTATCTGCAAGAAGTCCCCCCCGCAAAGTCCCACTGTTGGGAAAAAGACGTGTGCTGAAGAGGTTACAATCTGCCAAAGAGCACATTGACTGGCCTAAAGAGAAATGGGGCAACATTTTGTGGACTGATGGAAGTAAGATTGTTCTTTTTGGGTCTAGTGGGCGGAGACAGTTTGTCAGACGACCCCCAAACACTGAATTCAAGCCACAGTACACTGTGAAGACCTGTGAAGCATGGCGGTGCAAGCATCATGATATGGGGATGTTTCTCATACTACGGTGTTGGGCCTATTTATCGCATACCAGGGATCATGGATCAGTTTGAATCCATCAGAATACTTGAAGAGGTCATGCTGCCTTATGCTGAAGAGGAAATGCCCTTGAAATGGGGTGTTCCAACAAGACAACGACCCCAAACACACCAGTAAACGTGCAACATCTTGGTTCCAGACCAACAAGATGGACGTTATGGAGTGGCCAGCCCAATCCCCGGATCTTCATCCAATAGAAAACTTGTGGGGTGACATCAAAAATGCAGTTTCTGAGGCCAAACCAAGAAATAGAGAAGAACTGTGGAATGTGGTCCAATCCTCCTGGGCTGGAATACCTGATCACAGGGGCCAGAAGTTGGGTGACTCCATGCAACACAACTGTACCTCTAAACTCTTAGAACGCTTAGTCTACAATCACCGGAGCTCCTCCATCACCGACAACAACCTTCTTCACCCTTCACAGTCTGGCTTTCGCTCACTACACTTCACTGAAACTGCCCTACTAAAACTCACTAATGGCCTACTAACTGCTAAAACCAATGGTCCACTACTCCGTACTCATCCCAACCAAACCACTACTCCGTACTCATCCCAACCCCCCCCCACTACTCCGTACTCATCCCAACCAATGGCCACTACTCCGTACTCATCCCAACCAATGGCCACTACTCCGTACTCATCCCAACCAATGGCCACTACTCCGTACTCATCCCAACCAATGGCCACTATTCCGTACTCATCCCAACCAATGGCACTATTCCGTACTCATCCCAACCAATGGCCACTACTCCGTACTCATCCCAACCAATGGCCACTACTCCGTACTCATCCCAACCAATGGCCACTACTCCGTACTCATCCCAACCAATAGTCACTATTCCGTACTCATCCCAACCAATGGTCACTACTCCGTACTCATCCCAACCCCCCCCACTACTCCGTACTCATCCCAACCAATGGTCACTACTCCGTACTCACCCCAACCAATGGCCACTACTCCGTACTCACCCCAACCAATGGCCACTACTCCGTACTCACCCCAACCAATGGCCACTACTCCGTACTCACCCCAACCAATGACCACTACTCCGTACTCATCCCAACCAATGGCCACTACTCCGTACTCACCCCAACCAATGGCCACTACTCCGTACTCATCCTATCAATGACCACTACTCCGTGCTCTTACTACTAGACCTCTCTATGGCTTTTGATATGTTGACCATCCCCTCCTCAAAAAACTCCACTCTCTTGGCCTCCGAGATCTTCTGCTCTCTGCTGTTTCTCCTCCTACCTATTGCAGCGCTCCTTCAGCATTACCTATAACTCTGCCTCCTCCTCTTCACTCCCTCTTTCTGTAGGGGTCCCTCAAGGCTCTGTCCTTGGACCCCTTCTCTTCTCCATCTACACCTCCTCCCTTGGTCACTTGATAAACTCCCATGGTTTCCAGTACCATCTCTATGCTGATGACACACAAATCTGTCTTTCTACTCCTCACCTCACCCCTTTAGTCTCCTCCTCACCTCACCCCTTCAGTCTCCTCCTCACCTCACCCCTTCAGTCTCCTCCTCACCTCACCCCTTCATTCTCCTCCTCACCTCACCCCTTCAGTCTCCCTCACCTCACCCCTTCAGTCTCCTCCTCACCTCACCCCTTCAGTCTCCTCCTCACCTCGCCCCTTCAGTCTCCTCTCGCATTACTAACCTACTAAGTGACATATCAGCATGGATGTCACTCCACTTCCTCAAACTCAATCTTTCCAAAACGGAGTCATACTATTCCCAATCCAATCACTGTCCAAATCTTGTAGACTTCATCTCTGCAACATCTCCAAGACACACCCGTTCCTAACCTCAGAAACCACTAAGCAACTTATTCACTCCCTGGTTATCTCTCACCTTGACTATTGTAACTCCCTCCTCATTGGCCGACCTCATCGCAAGCTATCCCCTCTTCAGTCTATCATGAATGCTGCTGCCAGACTAATCCACCTTACTAACCGTTCCATATATGCCACCCCTCTCTGCCAATCCCTCCACTGGCCTCCACTCCCTCCACCCCTCTCTGCCAATCCCTCCACTGGCCTCCACTCAGTGTCCTCCATCCCTCTCTGCCAATCCCTCCACTGGCCTCCACTCAGTGTCCTGCATCCCTCTCTGTGGCCTCCACTCAGTGTCCTCCATCCCTCTCTGCCAATCCCTCCACTGGCCTCCACTCAGTGTCCTCCACCCCCCCTGCCAATCCCTCCACTGGCCTCCACTCAGTGTCCTCCACCCCTCTCTGCCAATCCCTCCACTAGCTTCCATTCAGTGTCCTCCATCCCTCTCTGCCAATCCCTCCACTGGCCTCCACTCAGTGTCCTCCATCCCTCTCTGCCAATCCCTCCACTGGCCTCCACTCAGTGTCCTCCATCCCTCTCTGCCAATCCCTCCACTGGCCTCCACTCAGTGTCCTCCACCCCCCCCTGCCAATCCCTCCACTGGCCTCCACTCAGTGTCCTCCATCCCTCTCTGCCAATCCCTCCACTAGCTTCCATTCAGTGTCCTCCACCCCTCTCTGCCAATCCCTCCACTGGCCTCCACTCAGTGTCCTCCACCCCTCTCCTCCAATCCCTCCACTGGCTTCCCATTGCCCAACGAACAAAATTCAAAACATTAACAATAACATATAAAGCCATTTATAAACCCCAAATTACATCACCGATCTTGTCTCCAAATATCACCCAAACTGTCCTCTCCGCTCCTTGCACGACCTCCTGCTCTCTAGCTCCCTTGTCTCCTCCTCTCATGCTCATCTCCAGGACATCTCCAGAGCTTCCCCCATCCTCTGGAACTCTCTACCCCAAGCTATCAGACTATCGCCTACTCTGCCCACTTTTGGGCGATCTCTGAAAACCGATCTCTTCAGGGAAGCCTATCCTGCCCTCAGCTAATAATGGAATCTTCTACTCCTCCTACCAGCCCCTCCCCCACAGTTATTACCTTTTGTACCACTAGCCCCTCCCTCCTAGATTGTAAGCTCCCAGGATCAGGGCCCTCCTATCCCTCTTGTATTGATCTGTATTGTTGCTGTATTGTCTCCCGTTATATTGTACAGCGCTGAGCACACTGTTGGCGCCATAAATCCTGTATAATAATAATAATGCTGAGAATCTGAAATGCCTTCTCACTTGTGTAAACCTTTCTTGGACATGGCTGGCCCTGGGGACACAATACTGCTGTGATGGTGTGGTCAGGACACTGAGGAGGCTGCACTGACGTGGCTGATCAGGACACTGAGGAGGCTGCACTGGCATGGCTGATCAGGACACTGATGAGGCCGCCTTGGCGTGGATGCTCTGGTGTGGCTTAATAGGACACTGTGGAGGCTGCACTGGCATCGCTGATCAGGGCACTGGCATGACTACACTGACATGACTGATCAAGACACTAAGGAGGCTGCACTGACTTGACTGATTGGAACACTGAAGAGGCTGCACTGGCGTGGCTGATCAGGACACTGAGGAGGCTGCACTGGCGTGGCTGATCAGGACACTGAGGAGGCTGCACTGGCGTGGCTGATCAGGACACTGAGGAGGCTGCACTGGTGTGGCTGATCAGGACACTAAGGAGGCTGCACTGAGGAGACTGCACTGGCGTGGCTGATCAGGACACTGGCATGGCTGAACTGGCATGGCTGATCAGGACACTGAGGAGGCTGCACTTGCGTGGCTGATCAGGACACTGAGGAGGCTGCACTGGCGTGGCTGATCAGGACACTGAGGAGGCTGCACTGGCGTGGCTGATCAGGACACTGAGGAGGCTGCACTGGTGTGGCTGATCAGGACACTGAGGAGGCTGCACTGGTGTGGCTGATCAGGACACTAAGGAGGCTGCACTGAGGAGGCTGCACTGGTGTGGCTGATCAGGACACTGAGGAGGCTGCACTGGCGTGGCTGATCAGGACACTGAGGAGGCTGCACTGGCGTGGCTGATCAGGACACTGGCATGGCTGAACTGGACGTGGCTGATCAGGACACTGAGGAGGCTGCACTTGCGTGGCTGATCAGGACACTGAGGAGGCTGCACTGGCGTGGCTGATCAGGACACTGAGGAGGCTGCACTGGCGTGGCTGATCAGGACACTGAGGAGGCTGCACTGGCACTGGTGGCTGATCAGGACACTAAGGAGGCTGCACTGGTGTGGCTGATCAGGACACTGAGGAGGCTGCACTGGCGTGGCTGACAGGAGGAGGCTGCACTGGTGTGGCTGATCAGGACACTAAGGAGGCTGCACTGGTGTGGCTGATCAGGACACTGAGGAGGCTGCACTGGCGTGGCTGATCAGGACACTGAGGAGGCTGCACTGGTGTGGCTGATCAGGACACTGAGGAGGCTGCACTGGTGTGGCTGATCAGGACACTGAGGAGGCTGCACTGGTGTGGCTGATCAGGACACTGAGGAGGCTGCACTGGTGTGGCTGATCAGGACACTGAGGAGGCTGCACTGGCGGCTGATCAGGACACTAAGGAGGCTGCACTGGTGTGGCTGATCAGGACACTAAGGAGGCTGCACTGAGGGCTGCACTGGCGTGGCTGATCAGGACACTAAGGAGGCTGCACTGGTGTGGCTGATCAGGACACTAAGGAGGCTGCACTGAGGAGGCTGCACTGGCGTGGCTGATCAGGACACTAAGGAGGCTGCACTGAGGAGGCTGCACTGGCGTGGCTGATCAGGACACTAAGGAGGCTGCACTGAGGAGACTGCACTGGCGTGGCTGATCAGGACACTAAGGAGGCTGCACTGAGGAGGCTGCACTGGCGTGGCTGATCAGGACACTGAGGAGGCTGCACTGGTGTGGCTGATCAGGACACTGAGGAGGCTGCACTGACATGGCTGATCAGGACACTGAGGAGGCTGCACTGGCGTGGCTGATCAGGACACTGAGGAGGCTGCACTCCCCAATCCCTCTTCTAACACAAATCCCCCCAATCCCCTCTCCTAGCACAAACCTCTCCCCCATCCCCCTTCTAGAACAAAATCCCTCCCCAATCCCCCCTCCTAACACAAATTCCCCAAAGCGGCAATACACAGTGTCAATGGCAAGATCGGTCACTAAGGAGGCTGCACTGAGGAGGAGGCTGCACTGGGGGACAAATGAAATGTGAGTGGGTGTAGCCCACCCCAGCACCCCCCTAGATCCAGCCAGGGCAGAGAGTAGGGAAAAACAGGCAGCCATGGCTGTGCCCTAGGTGGGAGTGCACCCTAGACGGCTGCCTAGTTCGCCTTGTGGTAGCTCCGGCCCTGATCCTGTCTACATGTGAGATATATAGACAGGGACCTTAGATTGTTAGCTCCTTGGGGGAGGGACCGGGACGACTGTACAGTATGTAGAGTGATGTGTCAGTTCTATATAAATACCTGGAATGTTACATTTATAAAAAAGAATAAAATATCATCGAAAAAAGCAGAAGATGTGAAAGTAGAAAAGGGAAGGATGTTGACTCATTCGTAGGTTTTAATCCCACAGCCGGCCAGTCCCAGGAAGAAGGAGGAGGGGGTCACACATTGTACAATCGTCTTTCTGTCTTCTTTGCTGTAGTGAGGATCGGGCTGCGGGTCGGTTATGAGGACTCTGCTGATCTTGGGGGGTCTCGTTGTCGTTGTGCTGCTGGTGACCCCATCTAACGGTGAGCGGAGGGTGTCCCAGGATGGAGGAGAGGTGAGTTCCCGGGATGGATTGTACGGTGTGAGGGCTCTACACATCCAGGAACATTCCATCCATCAGAAGACCTTCTATAGACACAGCTGTCCAACCAGACATGTCCATACACATCAATTCCTACATATCACCGAGCAATGTCTGCAGACGTATACCGAGGACGATGTATGGATACGTATCTGTCCTGTCCCGTATATATACGATGTCTGCAGACGTATACCGAGGACGATGTATGGATACGTATCTGTCCCGTATATATACGATGTCTGCAGACGTATACCGAGGACGATGTATGGATACGTATCTGTCCTGTATATATACGATGTCTGCAGACGTATACCGAGGACGATGTATGGATACGTATCTGTCCTGTATATATACGATGTCCGCAGACGTATACCGAGGACGATGTATGGATACGTATCTGTCCTGTATATATACGATGTCCGCAGACGTA